GGGTTTAGGGTTTAGGTTTACAGGGCCTGCAAGGGGATACCTTTCCCAAAAGCCTGCACTCCTAAAACCCACCTAGCCCCGACACCGCTGAACACCCTGAATGCGGGCCCAGAGGCCCCCAGCCTCTAGACCCTAAGCCCCTAAACCCCGAAACCCCAAACCCCAAAGCCCTAAACCCTAAACCCCAAAACCCTAAACGCCTAAACCCTAGACTCCTGAACCCGAAACCCCAAAAACACAAACCCCTAAGCCCTAAACCCTAAACCACAAAACTCCTAAACCCTAAACTCCTAAATGCCCTAAACCTTAAACCACCAAAAACCGGATTTGAGAGCCCTTAAAGGAAGCGAACCCTTAAAGAGACCCCTAGAGGAAGCGAACCCTTAAGGAACCTAGGGGATCTCCCAGCCCGGAGCTCTTCGCATTCCTGTTGCGGTTTGGGGTTTGGGGTTTTAGATTTTTTTTTGGGGGGGGGTTTAGGGTTTGGGGTTTAGGATTTTGGGTGTAGGGTTTAGGGTTTAGGGCTTAGGGTGTAGGGGTTTGGGTTTGGGTTTAGGGTTTAGGGTGTAGGGTTTAGGGTTTAGGGTCTAGGGTGTTTGGGGTTTTGTGTAGGGTTTAGGGTTTAGGGCTTTTAGGGTTTAGGGTTTTAGGGTGAACTGGCCCGAGCCCCGCACTGAATCAGCTAACTTGTCCGCCACTTCGGCAGCCACATTCCTGTAGATAGAAGGCTTAGGGTTTGGGATGTCTTCTTTTAGAGTTTAAGAAAGTTTGGGGGTTTAGGGTTTCCGGTAGATCGGGTTGGGTTGTGCGTTGCGGGGCTTTTAGCGCTTTCGGGCTGTTCGGGGTTTAGGGTTCAGGGTTGCGGGTTCAGAGGGGGCTGAGGTTCGTGGCGCGCTGAGTCAGCCTGGGAGGCCCATCGTTTCGGCTTGAGGGCTTTAGGGCTTTAGGGTTTTAGGGTTTCATGTAGGGCTTTCGGGTTTAGGGGTTTCGCGTTTCGAATTTCGGGAACCTGAGAGGGATGTAATGTAGGGACCTAAATAATCACCTATGCTATTTTGGGGGGCCTCCTTATTATAATTATAGTATACTATACCCCAAAACCCTATTCTAATAAATCCTAAACCCTAAACCCTAAACCCTAAAACCCTAAACCTAAACCCTAAACCCTAAACCCTAAACCCCGAAACCTAAGCCGTAAGATTTCAATGGTCCCGGGGCTGCTGGCGGGACATCGATGCATGGTGCTGGTCGCAAGTAAAGCGCGGGGTATCGGCCCCTGGCCCCTGAAGGCCCCAAACCCTAAACTTAAGACCCTAAACCCAAAAGCCCTAAACTTAAACCCCTGAACCCTAAACCCTAAACCCTAAACCCTAAACCCAAAAACCCTAAACCCAAAAACCCTAAACCCAACAAAAACCTAAAGCCCAAAACTCTGAAGCCCTAAACCGTCAAACCCTAAAGCCTACACCTCTGAAGCCCTAATCCCTCTCTTCAGAGCACCCGGGTTTTCGGCCTGGTCATGAGCTCTGTCTTGAACTTCTTCAAGATGGGCCTTGATAGAACGTTCTCTGGGGTTTAGGGCTCACAGGGTTTAGGGTTTGGGGTTTAAGGTTTAGGGTTTAGGGTTTAGGGTTCGAGTTGTGGGTTAAGGCTTTAAGGTTCTGGTTTGTTCAGATGCTGCGTCACAAGTACCTGAATTGGGGCTCTAAACCCGTATAACTGTAGTGGCCGTACTTGATTCAAACCGTACTTACTGAGTCTGTGTCGCAATCCTTCAAGTGCAAGGCAGGCAGATGGGAATGCGCATTCAGCAACCCATCACTGCAAGATGCATGGTTAAGAGAAGCCCAAAATCCCAAACCCCAAACCCTGAACCCTAAACCCGAAACCCTTAAACCCGAAAGCCTAAACCCCAAACCCGGAACCCGAAACCCTAAACCCTTTACACCCGAAACCGCAAACCCCAAACCCGAAACCCAACCCCAAACCCTTAAACCCGAAACCGAACCCCTTGAACCCAAAACCCCAAACTCGAAACCCTGAACCCTTTAAACCCGAAACCCCTTAATCCCGAAACCCCAAACCCGAAACCCCCCCAAACCCGAAACGCTACACCCCAAACCCTAAACCCCAAACCCGCCCAAACCCTAAACCATAAACGCCAAACCTTAAACCCTAAACCCTTAAACCCGAAACCCTACACCCCAAACCCGAAACCCTCAACCCGAAACCCTTGAACTCCAAACCCTTAAACCCGAAACCCTTAAACTCGAAACCTTAAACGCGAAACCCGAACCCCTTAAACACCCTAAAGCCCTCAAACAGAGTGCAAGCCTCCCATCACGAATAGTAATCATATCAACATTTTGAAGGATAATACTCATTTGAACTATTGCTATATTAATAATTGCTATTCTGATAACGATAGTAATGCTAAGCTACCGTCAAAGGCGGACGAACATATTGACACCACCTTGTCATCAACGACGCTGATTAAAGGACATTTTGTAAGTTGCCCACTCTGCTTGCGAGTCGGGTAAACTCTAGAGGGATCGTGTTCCGGCGAATCTAAAGTACTATAGTGGCCTCAATAATTACCTGTGTTATTTTGGGGGCTCCTTACGATATTTATACTAGACAGGACCCCCAAACCCTATTCCAATTCTTAAGGCCCCGATCCCTAAACCCTAAACCC